GCGCTTTGACGAGATGGCGTGCACGGTTCTCGCACGCCTACCACCACCGCGGCAACACGATCAAGCGCGACACCACGACCGCGAGCGGCCCGAAGGAGAGGATCGACGGCGTGAAGAGCACGATCGCGAGGACGAGTTCGACCGGCAGTCCCAGGCGTCCACTTACCGCGAGCGTTCGAAGGTCGACAAGCCCCGCATCACGGTATTCACCTTCACGGGCAGCGATCCAGATGCATGGCTCAACCGACAATGCAAGATTTCAAGCTCATTGAGATTGACGGCCCCGATCGTGTAAGGTACGCAGCCTATTATCTTGATGGTGAGGCCAATGTGTGGTGGCAGTGGCTTACTAGCGTATACTGGAGCCGACAACGAGTCATCCGATGGAACGATTTCGAGCGTGAGTTACTCACACGATTCAGAACATCCAAGTACCACAACTATGATGAGGCGCTAACACGCGTAAGGCAGACATGTAGTTTACGTGATTATTTAAAAGAATTTGAACATTTAGCTTGTCGAGTAAGAGACTGGCCCGAGACCGCGTTAGTAGGAGCTTTCATAGGCGGCCTAAAGTTTGATCTGGCTAATGAGGTGCGCTTAGAGCGTCCTGATACAATGCATACCGCAATGGAGGTTGCTCGACACCGAGAAGATCATCTTATGGCAACTCGAAGGGGACGGGCGGACGCACGCTACCCCGAGACGCGACGCACACACCAGACGCAAGCAATATGGTTCTGAGTGACTGTCCGCCTAATAGCTCTCGACCAACCCATAGTGTGCGACCACCGGGACCAGAAGTCAAGCACTTGTCGCTCGAGGAGATAAGGCGCCAGCGTGAGAAAGGGCTTTGCTACAAGTGCTAAGAGAAGTTTACACCGGGCCACCGATGCAAGCAGGCTTTTGTCATCAACGTCATCGATGATGAAGAGCTTGAGATCGAGGAGGATTGGCAGCAAGAAGTCGAGATTGGGGTTCCCGAAGAGGAGGCCGAAATCTCCATGCACGCAATGGCTAGGACGAGAGGACCGAGGACGATGCGACTACCAACATGTGTCAAGGACCGCCATATAGTCGTGCTCGTAGACAACGGATCGTCGCACAACTTCATCAACGCCGATCTATCTCGAAAACTGAAGTTGCCAAAAATGAAGATAGAGCCATTCGAGGTTTGAGTAGCTAATGGCGAATGACTAAGGTGCATCGAATCTTATCGCGGGGTGCTGATCAAATTTCAAGGAGTCACCATCAAAGTCGATCTCTATGCGCTACCGTTGGTTGGACCCGACGTTGTGTTGGGAGTACAATGGCTCAAGGGATTAGGAAAGGTGACCACCGACTACCGAACCGGGGACATGGAGTTCAACTCAGGGGAGCACCGGGTCATGTTAACGGCAAGCAAGGATGAGGGACTAAGGAGGTTGGTCTCAAGAGTATTGAGCGGGTTTAGCACGGAGGTGGCCAGATTTTCGCCGTCGAGGAGGTAAGCGCACATGCGGGCACAGTCGAGCCAGTCAAGTACAAGGAGCTACCTCTGTTTGACAACTACTTCGAAGAGGAC